TGTTTTTATATAGGAACACTGAAAAGGTACATTAATGATGGATAATATAACTCATTTGAAAGTAACAGAGAAAGTGGCATTCAAATCAGAGATAACAAGAAAACAATCAATCAAAATGTATAAATGCATGAATTCATATGTTAAAACTATATTTACATCAGCAATAACGAGATGTTAAAAAAATAATGCTAGTATAAGAGAAAAGAACTGACTATTTAAGGTATAAAATGTATTGAATATGGTGGCATTACATGTGTGATCTAAACATAAAGCTTTATTGTTCTATTCTTCACATCTCCATTTAGAATTGGAGTGAAACATCATGTCACAAATCAACAAGGCAAAAATGGGATTAAAATGTATAAAACACACCACTACATGTTATAAATGTCCGTAGAGAAACAAGAAAAAGCTGAAAAAAAGCCTGTAAAGCATATGACAAAAAATAAAGTTGTAAGTAAAATATGCACTGAATCAAACTCACATTTCAATGACTGCAGGGACTTTTAGAAACTGAAACATGCTGGAGGCTGTTTGTAGGATTTGGGTTTGGTTGAGGTGGCCAAAGAGCCGGCCCTGGGCAGAGAGAGCCTGCTGGAGGTATCTCTTTAATTCAGAAAAAACAAGCAGAATTCTTTTCATGAAAACTTATCTAAGAATTATGAGATAATAAATCATATGTTCAGAAAAGAAAGCTTCTGTAGATTCATCTCATCAACACAATAAATTGTATGTGTATAGCCAAACACAGGGGTGTTATATCTCATCATACTTAGGGCTCTGAGTAGTAAGACTCTGGTTTCTCTGTGGAATTTTTTTTTGTTTTGTCCACAAACACACCCATCTGTAACAGGAAGGCCTTTGGAATAGGGCGAGCATGACGAGACACATACAGCTTCTTCAGACTTTGATTCATAGGCGAAGGTTTATAGTCCATGCATGAATTTCCACTCAGACTCGGAGCGCATTTCACTTCCCATTTGTAGAACAGCTTGCCGTGATGCAGGTTGCAGAGATCCTGCATGACTCCAGCAGACAGAATCTTCTCACATTGTCCCAACAGGTCGTCATCCCACTTGTTGTCCTCATCCCACACTTCAAATTTCAGTTTTCCTGCTGACAAATCCAGGGAGCCCAGGTCAGCGACCATAGCCCAGTGTGGGTTGTTGTTGTTGTAAATCACAGGGGAACGCTGGACCATTTTGTTGTTGAAAAACACCTTCACATAGCCATCAGTGGATGTGAAGTAGTCTCCCCAAAGACCAGAAGCCCGTTGTACAGTTATGATGACCCGTGCCATGCCCTTACGGGTTGGGCAGCAGTCTGCGTTTACAGCAGCATCATTGTGGCATTGGCAGACGCAGGAATCCTTCAGGTCGCTCTTGACGCCAGCTTGACATTTCTCACTGCAGTTCTTCCACAGACCTTTCTCCAGGATGTAATGACTAATGGCCGAGCGCATGTTCTCCTGGGTTGAAGTGTTTGCAGGCAGTAATTCGTGCAGTGAGTCTAGGGAATATGAGACTATGTCTGGGTTCTTTGGTATTGTGTTCAGCCATTCCTTGTAGGCTGAAGGATCTTTGTCAGCAGAGAAGAGAAGGTCTGGCTCTGTCGTATGGCCCCCCTTTATTTCTGTGAATCTATAGAGAAGAGCGTTATTAAATAACTGAGCAGGAGTATATATTTGAACCTAGAGAACTAGGGGTTTAAATTTCATATATAAGGGTGTTTTTAATTGGAATTAATATTGCCTGACATGATTTTGAAAGTCTCACTTCATTGGTATGCACTGATCGTGGGGATTAGAATTTGGTGGGACATATTTCAATTCTGACATTTAAGTAAACCACAGTTTGGCCCTTCCAGCGTTGAGAATCGTAATTTAGAAGTACAAATGAATAGAAAACATGACTAAATATATGACGAAAAGTGTTCTATACCTGTCGTTGAAGAGGCTGGAGAAGGCTGACTTACTATCCGTCTTCTCAGTGTCTTTCTTGCAGTGTTTTGCTTGAGTTTCTATTGTAACTTTCATGCTAGCGGAGGCTTCAACTTCCAGGCACATCTGCACCTCTTCTGCGCTGTAGCCGTGCAGGCTGGCCTGGCACTGCCTGATGCTGGTCACAGATTGAACACTTCCTCCCATCTTCACCTGCAATTATATATTTGAATACCTTCTGCATAAGCAAATGACTTACCATGTTTGTTACATTTTGTTTAGTTACAACCATGCCATTATTTTGGTTCACCTTGGTGATGTAATGGGTGCCAAAGTTGTCAATCAGTTTGTAAAATCGTCCCTTGTTTTCAGAGTTGTAGATTTTGGGGAGCCCTTTCACTGCTGTGTGAAATTCTTTGTGCAACCTGGGAGTGCCGGACACTCTGTAGCTGTTTCCAGTGAGACAAAATACAGATCAATATGAAACAGGTGTTTTACAGTATTGCATTGAAGTTCATTCATTTTATTGATTGCATATATTTTTGCGTCTAGAGGAGTGTGTGGAAAAAACCTTGCCCAGTAGTTGTCTTCTTACCTGTAGTACTCACAGGACATGCTGTGGCTTGTGAAGCTGAACTTGTCATTCTTTGTTTTTGCCATTGAGTATTCAGACAATTTTGAATTGGTACCAGCTAGCATCAATGAGGCGCTTTGAGTTATTCCTTGAAAATTTAAGTTGGTCTTCCAGTTGTTTTCAACAGAAGAGGAGGTAGCGCTGACCAGAGACTCACTGGAGTTCGGGTGGAGTTTACTGGATCACTTGTCATCGCTGCAGGCCTGCTTTAGCCCTCATCCACACACTGTCAAGGGGAGCTTCTGTCCTTCTCTCGTGTTCTCCAGGATTAGGGTTCTGCACAGGGTCATGTCTTGATCTTGCGGTTTTTCCACCGATCTTCATGTCAATCACATAGGCGCTTTACGTTCATTTTGGTGATATCAAAGCCTTCCCTCAGCAAATTTGCACTGGAGCAAAATTCTGCTTCGACGCAGATTTGGATGTGCCCTCTGTGAATGACTGATACGTACACTGAGGGGAGGAGACAGCAATGTAGGATTGCACAGACGCAGAGTATTCAACAGAAGCATGTTGCTCTTAAGTTGGGTGATGGATGCAAACTGATGGTTTATCCTAAAAAAAAAACATTTATTTGAACAAATGAGCAAGTGAAGCATATTCAGTCGCTCTGCAGCACTGTGCCTATTGCGCTTTCAAAATCATCCACCTGCCTTTCTTTCTGCATTCACTCTTGGTTTATAAAAGCTGTATTTTAGACGGTTAGTGCAGATATGGTAGCCACTATTAACTGCTCTGCGTCTGTATATTTTTCCAATTTGCTGCTGTTTACACCCTCTCTTGAAGAAACCCTCTCCGGATCCCTCTGTTTCAAGTAGTTTTAGACCCAGCTGAAACCTACAAGGACTGGACAAACCACTCGTGAAGACTGTTTCTGCCAACTTTCAGTCTTTGATGGTCAGGAAGGAACATTAACGGTATGACTGACAGCTACAGCGTCAGAAGGCTAACTGTAAAATGCTCTACAGTAATAATAAAAACAATCAATCTGCTGCTTTAGTCTTTTGTCTCTTTTTATTGGCAAATTGTGATGAGTGACAGTGTAAAACTTATAATTATATTTAATGATGATTAGGAGAAACAAGACTAAAGACGCCCTACGAAGGCCCAAATTGTGAAGGTTGACAGATTCTTCACTGATATAATTATTTTATCTAATTTTATATTTCATCATCATGTTTTGGATTTTATTTACTTTTTTAGTCTTTGTTTCATTGTAAAGCACCATAAAACATTGTCTTTTAAATTATTAATAATTAAATTAAAGTTTATCATTATTATGATTATTATTATGGTATATTTTGAAATACAGTTTGGTAATGTTTCAAAATAAACAAATTAGCATATATACTCACTTTTGTTTCGCGTGTTCATGCTGCATACGTGAATCTGTATGTGCATGAACATTGCTATGTGGTGCTTTTATAGACAAACAAGACGGGTGTGGTAAACCTTGTCTTTGACAGGACAGGTGGAAAAAACATGTGGTTTTGACAGTTTGACCAACATAAAGGGTGCCATTTTCTCAAGCAGGTGAGAAAACGAGACATTAAACCAGACTCAGTGCTTCAGCAGCACAGACAAATGTACAATGTACAACAAAAGAAGAGCCATGATTGACCTTCTTAACATGTGAATGTACCAAACAATCAAATAAAACTGATAAATGCATCAATTCATACATTGAAAAATACACATTTTACAGCACAAAGATGTGTAAGGCAGCCCTGTGAGTAGCAGACAAACTAAATATAAAGTATATGAAACATGCAGGCTATGACATAAAGGTATATTGTTGTATTCTTCACTTCTCTCCTCCACTTTCTGTGGAATTGGGAGTCTGATCAACATGTGTCCGGAGTAAAGCGGGTCTTGTTTGTCACAGTCCCACAGAGGTGTGGTTGCTACACGGCCTAAGGTCCAAGCAAGTAGAGGGGGGTTAGAGGTAGAGGTAGTGTGATTCATCCAGATCCTCTCCCATGAGAGGATTACAGGACGTCACCTGCTGCCTTCAAGTGCTCCTCGGAAATTTCTAACTCCAAGTGCCTCCGTTACTTTTGTACAGTAATGGTAGCAAAAACTACACCCCTGTAATGACAGTGTTATGTTGTTGTTTGAAATTAGAAGTCGAGCAATACGAAGCATGTGTGCGATTTGAGCACTGCCCACGAATGTGTCATGTGTCTGGATGGTGACTCATTTATAGATAAGCAGCTTTTAGTGCAGACTAATTGCATTCAGAAATGAATCATCAGAGAATTTACAAGGCCTTGCAATATAATTTTGTTTCTCTGGTATAATCAAGTTTCAGAACATTAAACATTTAAGCCTTTTTAAAAGAAGGGCTGACCTCAATTTCCATTACTAAATATAATATCACTACACAGGGAAGAAGACTCACTTTGTTGCTGCAATTAAACATATTGGTTTTTAGTCATAACAAATAATATTCATGCTCTTTCTGTTTATCATGTGAGCTCAGGTGTTAAATGCAATATTTCCGCCTGTATTGAAGGCAGCTGTAGCTCAGCAAGTGTTGGCATTCACACTCCCATAAATGCAGCCAAGCAGCATGAAACTAACCTCAGTCAGCCAGAATAATACCAGAAGTCCACCTTCAAAATAAAATTAAATCTTCAAATAAAAGTCAGTTTATTGGATTATTAAGTTTTGTGTGTGTGTGAGAGAGAGTATTTCCAAAAAAGAAAGCTGTATTTAAAAGCAGGCATAGTGGGCAGCTTTTTTAGGGCGTCATTGCTTCCCCCAGCGTCCCAGGTTCACTGTGTGTCAGTTGGTCATTTGGTTAATTGCAAATTTGTTAGAGAATATGCACCAACAATGGAGATGGCTCCTGCTATCCTGTGGATGGCCCCTGTATTTATTATTCTGTTGCTCTCTCATGGTACATTTTCTTTAATGGAGTTTGCACAAAAATACGTGGTGCTAGGTAGTATTATACCAGGGTGAAAGAGTGCATACACAATGTATACAGAGCAGCAGTTGGAGACATGAAGAGTGTGTAGTTGTCCAAAAGCAAATATTTGCTCTCGCCTCCCCCTAAAGGACATCATCATCCCCATCCTTATGTGTGTTTATGTTAACTATGTTTAGCTGAACTCAACTGAACAATGCGCACACATGATCTTGCTTCAACAACCGTGTGAAATGTTTAATTAATATAGTCCAATGCATTCAGGCCCTTGACTACCCGGCAACCTGCTACTGCACCTCACCCACAAATTGGGACTATTTCTGGATATATTTTCGGACTTGAACCTGCAGCATTCTGGACACCAGCACACACCAGTGGCACTAAATGCAGTCTTTATTCAGTGTTTGAACTTTATAGCTCGTAAGCTGAAAAATAAAATCTCTTCTGTGTTACTTAACACTATTTATTATTATATTTATTTTAATGTCGCTATGTGGATGTGAGCTTATGTAGGCCATATATACATATTATTATTATATTATCTTTATATACTGTTATTAACAATAAACACTAACCATCAATGTATTCAGTACTATTACCACCATCTTTGCTAACCTACAACTTTTTGCACCTTATCTACTTTTATCTTTTATATCTAAGTATTTTATTCTATTTTTGTATATTATTCTATTGTATTTATTGTATTTTAATGTACGCTGGCTGCATATGACGACCCCAATTTCCCTTCGGGGATTAATCAAAGTCCTATCATATCATTTCTATCTGATTCTATCTATCTATTTCCTATCTATCTATTATCTATCTATCTACTATCTTATTATTTACTTATCATATTATCATATCTCATAATAGTATAATTGCCGTATGTGAACGATGAAAAATATTTTTTTGTTTTTTTTTTTTTTTTTTTTTTTATTGCGAAGTCTCGCAACATTTTAATTTGATTGTCTATGTAATAATATCTTCCATAAATATTGTAAAAAAAAAAATGTAGTCACCCACACCACCACACACACACACACACACACACCAAAAGTGGCACATCACGATATTCCAGGTTTCTACTTTTGAAAAACAATGGACCGGAAGTCCCTCCGGTACGCGTAACTTCACGCATGTGTAGAAGCGATGTGCAGGGGGACTTTAGCTCGCTGAGTCCGCCAGGACAGAGCGTGACTCGTCGCCGGCCCTTCGTCCGCATTTATTTCAAGGAAGCAGAACTGCCAGCTAGCTGAGATAATTAATGGATAACAAGTGAAGAACAGACGTACGAAGGACACTGAACGTACCGGCTTTACCGGACCGGACCGTGATCCGTGTTTTGGAGTCAACCGCTCAAATATCCCTTCCTCACCCCCCAGTACACGCGGACCC